TCTTAGTTGGATTTTATTTTGTGTTTTTAGCTTCATTTTATCCAAAATATTTGAAGAAAAATTCCTTACCTTGGAAAGAAAGTGAACTTGTTCTGGCTGTCCTCCTTATGTTACTAATTTGGACAGATAAACAAGACAAGTTCTGGCTACTGATCTTAATGACGGCGATAAGAATTCATCATAGACTTAAATACTTCCTACGTTTCCCATTTCTATTCCCAAGATTTTGTTATTTTACTTGGAGGGAGATGGCACGTGACCACATCTTCCCGAATGTGCAATGCTATTGATGTGCTTTCTTTCAAATATTGAGGCTCCCGGCCTTTCACTGCGTTTTAGTGTTTGTTTGAAGAGGCTTTGCATTTCCACTCTTGCTTAGCTCGGATTCTATTCTTCTCTTTTAAAGTCACTCACTGTACCTTCAGATGTTATTTTTTTAGTAAATTATAAAATATTTCTTCCCATTTTATCGTTGCAATAGTTCCTGGGTTTTTCTCGGTATTATGGTGCACCTACAATGCAGAAGTAGGGGCAATATCGCATTTATGTCCTTCCACATGTAGGAATGGAGGCACGCTTAATTTGTAAAAAAAAAAAAAAAAAAAGAAAGAAAGAAATACTGCATATCCGTTTGTTTGAAAATAGTTTGGACTATCTAAGGCACTGGCAGCCAGTCTGAGGACATCACTCCTGCGTGTAGAGCTTCAGTATCATTTTCCTTATTTGTGTAAGAATTAAGTGAAGATAAGTGTTGCATAGATGAGCTTCCAGTAAGTAGATGCTAACTTTTTATGTGTAAGTTTTAATAGTACCTTTGGAACAAAACCCATTTTCTTTTCTAGGAATGAAATCCTAGTAAAGCTGTCCTGAGAATTTTCCATTGGATGTGAAACTATTCAGTATTATATTGGTCCAGGAATATTTAATTGGCAGACCTGAATAATAGATTTCTGGTTGTCCTAAGGCAGGCTAAACCAGATTCTGTGGCGACTAGATTGTTTCTCAGTGATACTACAGCCATCCTTTATGGTAACAGTATTTGCAACAAATTCTCCTCATCTCTTCAACCTATGCCTTTGTATATCCTTGAGAGTTAACGTAGCAACTAAGTGGGAAAAACACAAACTCTTGCATTCTTACAGGGTCAATGTGTGTCCAGTGTCTCTCCTCCCCAAATTTGATGTCATAGTAACGTTAAATAAAATATGAAATTGTACAGCAGGTACTCGTCCAAGGTGCAATCACAAAGTAATGACTTTATTAATCTTGTTTATCTTCTCTTTATTACTTTCTCTGAATTTTTAAAATGCATTAATTAAATTTACATTAGACTAAGAAATATGAGGAATTTTTATGAAAAATTTTTAATACAGATTTTGATTTGGGTGTGCATATACATATATATGTATCCCTGTTATTAGTAATATAATTCCAAGGTGGTATGACCTTTCTTATAACCAAAATATATTTTATTCTTCCCCAGAAATCAAAAATCTCCACATATGACAAAATGTGGGCCTTTATGAGTAGCAGGAGGCAGTCGGTGCTGGTCAAAAGTAATGAAGAAGGAATCCAGAGAGTTCTCACCTCTGATTATGCTTTCCTAATGGAGTCAACAACCATCGAGTTTGTTACACAGCGGAACTGTAACCTGACACAGATTGGCGGCCTCATAGACTCCAAAGGTTATGGCGTCGGCACTCCCATGGGTAGGTTAGATGGCAGCCACTTGTTCTCTGTTCATTAATCTGAGTTACTACGGGAAAGGGAAAGAACAGTGCTTCTGCATATGCCATTAGGAATTTTGTTTTTATGAATACATCCTGCTACCTTCTGTTACTGTATCAATGCAGGCTAACGATGTGGATATGTGCTCCTGAGTGATGGGTGGTCGATATTTTTCCTGCATCAGCATTGATAACCCCACAACATCCCCGTAAAGAAGCTTCTCTTCTAAATCTTACATTAAATAAAAATGTTTTATGAGTACACTAAAGTTCTTATAACAATGTACCTTTTATTTTTTCATTTTTGGTATATGTGTTTTTTTGGGTTTTTTTATTAAATGATAGCTATACATTAATGCAATCATGGGGCACAGGGTAGTGTTTTCATATACAATTTGAAATATTTGCATCAAACTGGTTAACATAGCCTTCATGTCATTTAACTTAAAATGTGAGCCACAGTTGCTTCCAGTAACTATTAGCTTAATTGTTTCATTAAAGGCAGGTGCAAATAGCAGACTATTTGTCAATGGCATGTCTAGAATACTTACCATCCAGCGTTTATTATCTTTAATTTTCCTTTTCTTCCATTTGACAAAATTGTTTTCAGTCAAAATAATAAAATGAAATAAGGATAATAATTTCCAGGAAAAAATGTGAAAATTTTGGTTATACATATGTGCAAATGGAAAAATATGTATCTATTTGTGATACGAGCTGTTACAGTATCTGTGAGTCACCAGGAGAGTTTTGAGACTGTGTTATGTTCCATTATTTCATTTCCCAGAAACACAGTGGACACTGTCCTTTCTGATTTAGGCCCGCAAGTTTTAACTTCCTT